TGCGTCTGCACCCCTAGACACCTGGCAACACTTTCCCAGACCCAGAACAGAGCAGAGCATCAGTATGGATTCTGTCCTTGGTCACTCCAAGAAAGGCTGTCAGGGACACAATTTAAAGACCCAAAGGGACACAAGGGTGGTGCTTTCACAGCAGCTCCATTCATCCCTCTAGCGCGTCTCCTACCCAGGCGCCTAGCAGGGGTGGTGGGAAGTAGATGTCGCAAGAGCTATCTGATTGGAGCCAGAGGTGGCATCTCTGCCCCAGCAGGGCTCTCCGGCTCCGGGCTCGCATGGCCCTTGCGGCCACGCGTGCTTCACCACCTTGTTTGGCAGAGGATCCATGTCATGGTTGTATGTCCGTGCTTTTGCCCAAGGCTACAGTAACTCTGCTGTGACCAAGAGTGGCGAGGCCTGGTGGGCCCGGCAGGCTGGAGTAAGGGGACTCCAAAGCAGTCTCTCAGCTGCTGCCTGTGCCCGCCTCTGGATGACACACAACTTGGGGAGTGTGGTGGGCGATCAAGTGGTGAGTCGGGGGTTCTACACTTGGGAAATCTTTAGCCCCATGCCAGGGACATGAAAGGGTGGTATTGGATAGGGAGCCCCCTCCCCCCCAAGTGAGCCACACATAAGTGGCTTCCGCTGCCTTCCACAGACTGCCATCTGACTCCAGATTGAAAGGCTGGGTAGGAAATACGGGGTTCATGGCTGAGTGCCTGTGGTGGACCTGTCACAGAAACTGTCAGGCTGCAGGGCCAGGCCATTCACCCCCAGTGAGGGACTGTGTCTGCTGAGTTGGAGATAAAACAGCTGACCACAGACTATTCTGTGACCATGTTTTTAGACTTAGCGCTAGCCCGATTCTTTCACGCCCTGTTATCAGGTCATCAAACCCAGGGACAGTGATCACCGCTGGGCGGTGTGGTGCTTCTGGGATGGCAGGGTACAGAGCTTGCCACATGCATGGGCACTCACCAACCCACATACCTTTGCTTGGGCCTGGGCTCACACCACGGCCTGCTAGGAGCGTCTGTCACCGACTATAATGGTTCAGGGATGTCACCATGGTGTGTGGACACAAAGAGACTGTCAGCAATCGTGTGGCAGGTTAAGGAAAGAATTAGTGCTTTGTGGTGACTCTGGTCATTTGCTTGAACGGAGAAAGAAATGGACTCACAGACATGTGGTCTGTTTGGCTGGGTGGGTGCTGAGAGGAGAAAGATGGACATACCAGAGAGAAGGGGTCTGGTGTGGGACAGATGGAAGGACTCCTCGGGTGTAGACACAGGGTCCGACAATGAAATCCCACCCAGCCTCCAGAGGACAAACCTAGAGATTACTCACCATGGAAGCACAGCCATGACTATGAAGGCGGTGAGACTTAGCGCGGAAGTAGGGTTGTGGACAAATGCCAGCCTTGGGTATGACATGGTCATTCCCACCATCTTGAAATTGGAGCGGGTCTTGACTGTCTGCCTGAGACCCTCACAAGAGGAAGACTTTTAGCATTTCCTCGTGGAGTGAGTTGTGGAAGGGGCTTCAGCTTTTTACTGAGATCCGGGCACTCCCTCCCTCCTGCCGTGGCTTCATGTGGTTTTGCAGTGGAATATTTAAAGACTATCTAGACTATATAGGAATATAAGACTATATAGGAGCTTAAAGTCTAAGTAACACGGAGGCTCCAGAAGATTCTATCGCTGTGGCTTTCAGGCTTCAGTCACCATGCTAAGGTGGGGGATTTGGGGTGATATAGCTGTCTTAGAGAGTCACCTATGCCTCTGTAATTATGCCCCTGTAATTAACTCTACCAATAAACTCATTGCGTGGCAAGCTGCGCTTGGATGGTATTGGCTTCTGCCAGGGCTGACCTTTTGGGGGTGATGTTTATTCATGCGTCTCCAGGAATCAGCGACATGCAGCTAGCACAGAAGATGTTTTGGACAGTCGGGTAGACAGAATGACTTAGCTGGGTGACACTCGCCGCCCTGTCAGTGTCTGGGCTGTCACAACGAGCACACGGATGGAGGAAGGGCTATGCTGGTTTAAGCAGAAGCTATGCCCTCGCTGGACAGCCAGGCTGCTCCAGTGTCCAGGGGTGCATCCGGGACACTGGCTGCTACCCTGTGGTGGCAGGAGGTTTATTCTCAGCCAGCAGCCCATGTGTGCAGTGTAGCTCTCCTCTCCCCGGAGATCTTGGCTGGGATTCAGGCTGCCTGGCCAGATGCTCCTGTCAGCATTTCTCCTCTGCTGTGGATGCCTGGAACTAGCCATTGTGTGATGGTGTGTGTGTGACGGTGTGTGTGTGTGTGTGTGTGTGTGTGCGCGCGCGCGCGCGTGCGTGTGCACATGCTATAGTGCTATGCACCCAGAGTATAGACAACAGCTCTGGACCCACCCACTCCAGGCAGTCACTTTTGTCACTCAGCTGGGACACAGTATCCAGACATTGTACCCAACTGGGCCACAATGGCTGCATACTGATAACCACTGCCTTGAAGAATAGCTTATCCTCCAGCATTCCCAGAAGGCCACACTGAGCTATACTTTTCTACAAAGTCAGTCTTAGAAAGAACTACTAGCTGAGTCCATAAGTTTCCGCTATGCGTGCTAAAGGCAGGAGAAGGTCATGCCCGGCAAGGCTCCAGACCTGGGTGTATGCTAAGACCCAAAGAGCCTGCTGGATCCAGAAAGGGTGAGATCCTTTTGAGCCTACAGACATCCATGTGCCCATGTGTGTATGTGGCAAAGAGGTGATTGGGCCAGAAAGCCAGCACAAGCCCCAGCTCAATGCCCCGGAGACTGTTGGACAGGAGAGGGTGTCATGGTGGGTGCTCTGAGGGAACACAGCTGTGAGCAGAAGTACCCAGATTAGATGAAGGAACACCAAGACTTCAGGCCACAGGTCAAGCCTGAAGCCAAGATATTTTTTTCTCCTTTCCATCCAATTTTGAAGATGCTCTCTCACAAACACTGGTGGGAGGGTAGGGCAAGGGCTTGCCAGGCTTCTGCCTTACTTCAGCCTGAAGTTGTAGGGCAGGGTCGCTGTAGTCAGGTCTGGCCCAACCCAGGCACAGCACGGGACCTGCTGGGACATGGCCTTTATACCCTGGAGTGTGAAGGTAGGCCTGGCTAGTGCAGGTCCATAGCGCCATCTGCCGGCCATGCATTAGGCAGAATTGAAGTGGTTCCTGCAAGCCATCCATCCTTCTGTAATTAAGGAGGAGGGCAACTCTCATTGGACATGGTCTGCTGGGAACCTGGGTACATAAGTTCCTTAGGTTCTCTGCTCCAACCCAGAAGGCAGAGTGCTGGCACAGGGGTACCTACATTCAAACCCCAGGGTCCATGTTCCTGATCTCCAGCTTGTGAACTTCTGGCCACTGTGGTCAGGGACTCCACCTGTTCTATTTGCCTGCCAGATGAGGTCCTACTAGAGCCTGTCCACCTCTCTTGTCAAGTGATACCTGTCTAGTCCCCTCCTCCATCAAACAATGGACCTTCTGTATTGCAATATGGCCCTAGTTTCCTCCATCAGAAACATTTAAAGAGGAAAAAGCAAGCAGCCACCCTAGCCTGAAAAGAGATGCCAAGTCATCAAGTTGGTGAAATCCGTTCCAGGGCGCATCCAAGCAGCAGGAATACCTGACCCAAGGCCACAACACCTGCAGGCCCTCACACCCAGACCTTCTATGCCTGCAGCACCATCCATGGAAAGAGGCGTGCACGGGTGACCCACTGGCCAGTGCCCTTAGGGACCACTCTGCTTTCAGAGGATGGCTGGCTGTGGAGTCCGCCTTCAGTTACCTGAGAGCTGGCTGTGGAACAAACCCTGGCGAAGCAGCAGGGAAACCGGCCTGCACATCCAGGTCTGCGATCGGCCTGTCGACCAGGTCAGTGTCCTGACGTGAACTCCCTATCCCAGTTGGATCAGAACAGCATCCAGCAGACAGAGCCAGGCAGGTAGGATGGAAGAGACGCCAAACTGAAGCCTCAGCCTGCCAGAGACTCCATTCTAGTGTCCAGGTAGGAGCTGACCATGGAGATGCCCAGCTGGCACAGTGACAGTTGTGGAAAGGGTCTAACAGGTGTCCATTCCCTTCACATGTCTGCATAGGACTGCAGGGACACATGCATGTCACAGCTTAGGGTAGCACAGCAGGAAAGAGTGGAGTGGTGAGGCCAGACCAGGGGCGGGGGGGACCTCCTCAAGGACCATGAGGTCCTAAAATCCCTAGAGAGCTGCAGCAGAAGGGCACCATGCTGGCAAGGCCAGGGCTCCTCCAGGGACCACAGACAACCCAGATCCTAATTTAAAATTTTCTTCATGCCCAGATAGACAGTCTGTCCAGCTCAGCACCTGAAATTGGTGCCTTCCTCTGTGAATGCTGTTGTCAACACTGCCATTGCAGGCTTACATGCTGAGTCCTTACATGCTTCCTGTTACTGAAACAATCAACTTCAACAGAGGAAAGGCTATGCTGGCTCAGTTTGGGGGTTCCAATGCATGTTCACCTGGCCCCATTGCTTTGGCATGTGGTGAACCGGTGGTAGACTCGGGAGCATCAGAGATGCTAGACGATAGACAAGATTCCTTCATTGTCAAGAAAGGAAGAGCAAGCCAGGATCCCAACACCTCTCCCATGGAAGGCATGCCACCTCCCACTGGGCCCCACCTCCCAGACACTACATAGCAGGAACCAGGCCTTCAGAAAGTATCTCCAGCAGCTCCTAACGCTACACATTACACAGTTTGCTTGCCTGAGGCAGATAGACCACGGGTCAGGGCAGGACAGGAGCCCTCCCCGAAGCCCCGTCCTCTACCACACTGGGCATATATATGCTCAGACAACTTGCCAGGTGCCCTCCAAGGTCAGTAGATTCTGAGTCCCCATGGAAAGACATGGGGTCTCATCCATCTCCCAGCTCGGGCAGGACAGGTGCAACCTGAACAGTGTTGGGGGGTCCACATTCTCAATGAAACAAACCAACACGTGCTGTTCCTGGTGACCTTCAATGATCAATTTTATTATAAAGAACAGTATCAAAATATACAAATCTGCTTAAGAACCACCAAGAAATGCAGCTTTTTAAAGGGCCAAGTGAATATCAGCTATTTCAGGGTAGACGGCTTCTCCCTCCGGGATCTTCCTGGAGAAATGGGGTTGATGTCCATGGACCACATTTTCTATAGATGATATCCTCTCAATAACTTAAAGGGTGAGTCTGGCTTCGGAGCCCAGATGCCTGTCACAAATCTTCATGGAAGGGCGGCTGTGTGGGGCTTTCCTCTGCAACTTCTGTCAGAAGACATGCGGGACACTGAGTGAGTACCCAGGGCTGAAGTGCCTTGAGGATGGGTGGAATGGATGGCAGCTGGCTGTACAGGTGCTGGTGTCCCAGTACTCACTGGTTGGCTCACACCCCAGGGATAGCACCCTGACTCCCTCCTGACCTAGCAGCTTTCTAAGGACAGCTCAGGGTGAGCCTCAGCACCCACTATGGTGCCTAGGCAGGTACTTCAGAGCCTTGAGCAGAGGATAATAGTGTGTGGTGGAGGGCAGGCATTGACAGCAGGCAATCCTGTCCTCTGGCTGCCAAGTTCCTCTTATCCTTGGTAACTCACTGACTGCAACACTCCTAGGTGCAGAGGCACAATAGTTTACCCTGAGTTTACCTCATTCCCAGAATGAGCTTCTGGGAAACTCCTGTCACCCTCAGCCTCTCTGACCACTGCCTGTTCTCACTTTCTACAACTCCTGTAGTTCTGTCAGATCAAACTGTCTCTCTCAAGGACAGAGGCTGACATTCTGGCTAGCACCTATAAATGTGGCTTGATTTAGAAATAGGTTATTTTGCAGGTAATTAGTCATCGGGGTGGGACTTGATCCAGGATAACTTGTGGAGTCTTTACGAAACAGGAAGCTTGGACACACTGAGACCACGAAAGGACTAAAAACATTCTGGAAGGACTGACAGACCCTACTTCACAGCCTCAGAGATAGCCAGACTCTGACTTGGGCTGGGGTTGCACAACCCCATATTTTTCTTTTGGGAATCCTGGAGGGGCTGGTGCCTCAATGAGGCTGTTGCACTCTGCTCTTCTTCCCCCTCAGTAGGGCATCACACTTTCTTTTCCTCTCTCTCTCCACAGCAGACCCTACCTGAGGCCACTAACTGAATCCCCCCTGTACTGGCATCTCTGGGCTCCTACTGAATACTCCTCCTCCTCTGTGACCCTAGGTGCGCACTGTGCAAACATTTCACCCGTCGTCTGTGTTGTCCAACGGAGCAACTCTGTGTTAACTTCTTACTTGGCAGTTTTCAAGTGTCTGGCTAGTTCCAGCCCTAGGCAGGGCAGGCCATATTGCTCCTCGCCTTCCGCCACTCACCGCTTTCTGCTGTCTGTACACAAGCATCTTCTGTCTCCTCAAAGCCTTCTGGACACACGCAGACAAAGCTCCCTGGAATATTGTAGCAGTTTTCATTTTTCCTCTTACATGCTTTTTCTTCTAGTGAGCATTCATCTATATCTGAAATAAAAGTACTGCATTTCAATAAATGATTGCACGCACACTCACCTCAGATTATGAAAGTTGCTCATTCACAATTATCAATGAAAGCACTGGGATTATAAATGTCCATCAGATATAGATGTGAAGATCAAGAAGGTGCTCAGAGGAGAGCTTCCTGGGTCTCAGTGGCCTGGCCTCAACTGGCAGAGCAGAGATATCTCAGCAGTGAGGATGGGAAGCCCAGTACCCTGGACACTGCCCAAGAGAGTGGAGATGACAGCCAAGTCCCCTGGGAGCTGATGGTGACAAAGGGGCTTAGGTAAGCGTGGCTCCAACCGGCACCATGATATTGTCTATGCAGGGACAGACTCCATGGGCAGTATCGATCAGAGGTTGTGGGTCCCAACGCACGGGGGGGGGGGGGCTTGGGCAAGTGATGTGCTCCTTCTAAAAAGTTCATGTTCTCTAGAAGACAGCTCACTCACCTTCACACTGTCCACTCTGCTTGGTGTAGCCAGAGATACACTCTTTACAGTTGGCTGGGCCTTTTCCTGTACAGCCCACACAGGTAGAATCACATTCTAGAGACAAGGGGGGAGAAATCAGACTACTTCCACTTTAGTAAGGCAGGGCAAGAATAGCACACCATAGAACAGGCCCTAGTGACACTGAGGAACTTAAAACAAAGCCACCTCAAGCCTGGTGACAATTCGTTTCCCTAACCAAGACCTCACTAAGAACAGCCAAGCGTAGACTGCAGGCTTTACAGGCCTAGTGTCTCATTTCCCTGAGAGGACACTGTGGCCTGCTTGTACTGCCCAGTACTACTGTAGACACCAGGCGGCAACCTCATCCCTGCTGCTCTCTGACTTGTGTAAGACCTGAAAATACATCCTTGACTGGCAAATTTGGAAAGCAAAAGAGTGTGGACAATTTGGGTGTGGTGGTGCACGCCTTTAATCCAGCACTTAGGATGAGGAGGCAGAGGAATCTCTGAGAGTCTGAGGCCAGTGTGGTCTACATAGGGAGCTCCAGGACAGCCAGGAAGGTCTTGTTTAAGAGTGTGAAAAGTTTTCCCTACAAGAGAAAGGACTGGTGGGATTTAAATGAATGAGGCTAAACAGCAGCATGGTCCAAGATTACTGTGATGGATGAAACATTTGTCGCATCGAGATGTGCTGTTTTTCTGCAGCATGTCTACTTTCAAGTTTCTGAAGCCGACCACACAGAGGCCATTCTAGTCACACATGTTGAAGGGAGGGAAGCCCAGAGGATGACAGGCCCCAACACTCTGGTCACCTTCACACGTGTACGAGCCGTTGACATTCTCACAGTACTGGGCATCGCTGCAGGGGGGTGTCTCTGCTGCACACTCATCCACATCTGGAACAAAAAAGGTTGTGAGCAGAGCCACAAATCCAACCCATCCCTTCCCTCACCACCCCCACCCCAAGGCCTGAAGCCAGCTGGGGGCTGAGCTCTGAATCTGCCTAAGGCCAAGCAGCTGCTGAGGGGTGAAACCAAAACTAGGACTGACAGAGGGAGGAGGGGAGGCAGTGGCACCTGGGGCTACAGAAGATCAAGCCAGTGCCAGCTCCACTGATGGCCCCAGTACAGGGTTGGCAGCATCAAAGGGGTAAAGATACAGCAATAGCAGGGCCATGGCAGGGCCATGTGCCCTGGTGCTGTGATGCTATCAGCTGTGGCAGGGACATCTGCTTAATCTAGATCTGAGTCCTTCTCAAAACCCACATGCAGGCCCGGCTTTCCTTTCACAGCCCCGAGGGGGCAGAGACAAAAGGCATCAGATGGGAGTCAGACCTCACTGGGGGTCTCTCCTACATGGAACCTTTCCCCGCCCACCCAGTGTCCTCACCAACACAGGTATCCTCCACACGTGCCCAGCCCACTTCGCACTTGATACAGTCTTTGTTGGTCGGACCTGAGCATGTCTTGCAAGACTCATCACAGACTGGAAAGCAAAGGCTGTGTTAGGAGGGCCCTTCTGGGAACAGGATCCTATCATCTCCCACACAGCAGAAAGGTTCCTTTGGGAATAGGGATTTAAGATTGGCGGGAAAATCTTAAGTGATGAAAACAAGAAAATAAGCAGCCATTAATTCTGGGCAAGTCGTCACCATATGCAGCAGGCCTCTAGTCAATGACAAGGTACTGCTGACTACTTCCTTCATGGATTCATAAAACACCAAGTGTGTGAACTAAACCAAGGGTGCTGTCGTGTGCAGGCAGCAACCACAGGGGCCGAGAAGGCTGGCAAGGCCTGTGCTCCCCTGACTGATTTGACAGGTAGAGCTGACCTAAGTCTCAGGAAGAACCTGCCCAGGTAACCTTGACAAGCCAGGTGACAACAAAGGAGCTATTGGGGCCAGTGCTCAGGAGCAGTCCCCAAGAGTCCTGGTTTCTATGTGCAGCTGGGTCTCGCGGGCCCAGAAAGTTCTAGTTCCCTCTGAGTTGTTCGATTGACTGCAGACACGTCCCAGCCTCTATATCTTGCCTCCTCACTCCAAGAACACCTGGCAGGAAGCTGAAGGACCTGTCCATCCTTCAGGGACAGCCATAGGCTTCGAGCAAGCCTTTCATCAGTACATTTCAGGTGATCACAGGGAATATGGCCCACTACTAAGTGCCAGGTCAAAAACAAACAAACAAACAAACAAACAACAGGCATTTGGTATAGGCAAGGCAGACGCTGTCACATAGGCACTGAACCTCCCAGAAAGGCTTCAAGAAGCAAGCAGCCTTTCCTTCTGGGGTACTTTATCAATACTTCAAGAAGGCCACACCGCTAGGCCTCCTGCACTGCTCTGGACAACTGGGGCTAGGGGGTCAAGAGCCACTCTGTTCCCAGCCAAGCAGCTTCGGCAGAGGACTGCTCCCCATGGCCTCACCGTCAACTGAGCTGGCTAGACCACGGGTGCTGCTGCTTACCAGAGCAGATGCTGTGGGTCTCGTTCCTCAGCACGCTGAAATAGCCGTCCATGCAGTCAATACACAGCGGTCCCTTGTAGCCTACATGACACTGGCAGGACCCGTCACCCTCTCTGCTGCCATCTCCACTGCAGTAGCCATTACCGCTGCAAGGTCTTTCGGACCCACCTTGGCATGCTTGGAAGACATAAATCTTTGTTAGGAGCAATCCCCAGAGATCGACCGTGTCTTTCTCACATGTGGAGAAGCACAGCCTAATGTCCATTGGGATTTTTGATAAACTAAACCCGGCACCATTCCTGCTGGGGGAAATGGGCCTGAAAGCTGAAGGAAAGGGCTAGAGACAGACCCTGACTTCCTGAAACCTGCAGGATCAACACTGTAACGCCTGTGGGGAGCCAGCTAAGGGACAACGTGATATGTGCTTGGGAGAGAAATCTGGTGTTATATTCAGTGTACAGGCAGGGAGAGACAAGCAAGAGGCGGCTCAGCCTCCGGACATGCCTGAAACTGAAACTTCTGCCACCTGACCCAGCCCGAGCAACATGACTGACTGCAGTCTCCAGGCTCACCTCATAGAAACCCCAGGGCCAGCTAAGCAGGCCCACTACCTGCAACTCCTCTCAACTTGTCTCTCCTGAAGTACAGATGAGTTCCTCAGTCTGTGATCCCTGCTCTAAAAACACATTAGGACTAGAAGTTCTGTGCTCTACACAGCAAGGGAGAGAAGTGAGCAGTGACGCAGGAGCCTACATTCCAGGTTCACAGCCCTAGAGTAAGGGTGGATAGCTACCCAATTGAGGAGAGAGGCAGGGGCCCCAACTTCATAGGAAGATGACGTAGTATGAGTGCCCTCTGTGCTTTTAAACACAGGGGAGTCAGAGAGGAAGAACAGGAAAGATGGAGATTTGGGATTTCCCAAGGAAAACGTACCATGACAGTCTGGCCCATAGGTGCCCGGAAGACAGCAAGCTTTCAGTGTGTGTACACAGAACCATTCAAATAGGTTAGGGTAGTCCTTCTTCCTGAGGATTTAGAAACAGTCATTAAATCCCATGAAATGCTGGGCTGGAGAGCATGCAAGGCTCAGTGGTGGAATACACACAAGAACACCATGAGGGGATGTCTGAAGTCTTCGACAGTTTCAAGCCCTGAATATATGCTATGGGTGTGTTCACAAACACAGCGATGGGGAGGTTTAATTTATAAATCAGGCAGTAGGAGATCCATGACAAACACTGCAACGAGGCTCATCTCTGGAGTCTTCACTTCCTGTCTTCAGGCTCAAGTACCTTGGGGTAGGAGGCATTGTACAAGCCCTCAAAGCTATGTGGTGGGAGAAGCAAGAGTGAGCAAGCTTCCTGACTCTTCGTGAGCTGTGCTCTAGTAAGAGACAACTGCAGCGCAGGGGTAGAATGGGACAGGGAGGTACAGCATGGGAAGAGACTGCAAAGCCACAGATCAGGGCACAGGGCACGCACAGTGTCATCCACCAGGCCTCCAGCTGCTCCTCCTGCTCCTCCAAGACTTGGTTGCACTCAAAGTCGCTGCTGTCACACAGGCCCTCCAGGATCTCCAGAAGCCGGATCTCACTGAAACACAGCCCATCAGCACCCCAAAGCACCGGTAAAACCTCCACAACCATGGGCAGGGTTAGTCATTGAGGGGAGGCTAATCCTGGGTATGCAGGAGACCCCCAAAGCTGGTTAGGTGCTTCATCACTATAGGATGAGGAGAGCTTACTCCATCAGCCAGGGAAGCTAGAAGTCTCTAGGAGAGCTGGCAGCTCCAGTTTGTGTTCTCAAAAAGCCTCCCTCTGTGTGTGTTGTGTGTGTGTGTTGTGTGTGTGTGTTTATGTGCGCGTGAAAGTCTTTCAGTGTGTCTATGTACGAGCAGAAGTGGCTGTAGGGAGCGTTGAAACCACAGGCCAGCGAGTGGCCAGAGGCAGAGATGAACAATGACAAGGTATCCATCATCTAAGGGGTCTTTCCGTGTGCCGGTGGCCGTGGCCGCCAATCCGCGCAGTTGGGCACCCACCTGAATTCGTACTTGGACAGAGACTTCTCCTCCCACGCTGTGTTGCCGCCGCCGAAATTCTTTCTGGCCGTGTTGGCCATCCCCTGTGGAGGAGGTGGCACCGGCTCGGTGGTCCGCAGTGAACCCCGCCAGCCCCCGCCCGGCCCCGCTGCCCCGGGCTCGCCGCCCGCCCACCTGCTTGAACTTGTCCACAAGCGTCCGGCACTTATGGCACATGGTTGGCTTCCGGGAAGCTACAGTCCCGGGCGGCGGCAGCAGCAGCAGCAGCAGTAGCAGCCCAAATGCGGCTGCGAGCGGCAGGTGCATGGCGGGCGGGTTGCCGGCGACCGGCTGAGAACAGCAGCGGAGTCTCGGCCTCCGCCCACCGGCCCGCGCGCCAGCCGTTCCCTGGGCTACTTGACTGCGTCGCCGAGGCCCCGCCCATCTCTCACCCTGCGCGACACCATTGGCCGGAGGGACTCGCCCTTGCCTGATGTGGACCAATTGGGGTTCGCCACGAAAATCCACCAATGAGAAGGCCCCGGGTCAGCATCCCGCGAGAGTGGGGCGGGACCGCGGTCTTCTAGCCTGCCCTCGTGTCCCGCCCTCCATTCATAGCCTGTGGCGGCCATCTTTACTCCGGGCTCAAAGAGCCCGCCTCTGTCGCTAGTCTGGGCTATGGTGGCCATGTTAAGCCCGGGCAAAGACTTCGCTTCTGGACCGTGTTTCCACAGCCCGCTTCCTCCTGAGGGCAGTCTGCTGAGTTCGGAGGGGTCATGCGGAGAGCGGAAGAGGTTAGCATTAGCCGCCTGGATTTGGGTACTCGGGAGGTGGCGGCCAGGCTGGGGCTTTTCCGAGCGGGCTGTCTTAGCGCGCGTGATAGCCTTTGAGTTCCTCACCTAGGGGCTGAACAACTCACCTGGGGATCGGGCTTCTCACGTAGAGGCTGAGCATGTTGCTGGGGGCATCTCACCTGAGACCTGGACCTTTCCTCCGTTCCCCACCCTCCTCACCTGACGGCCGCAGCTGTCACCTGTGAACTGAGCTCTGCATGTTGGACCGGCTCGATGTGGTTGAGGGTCCACAAAGTAGCCAACATTTCCACAGGGGCCTCAGGCAGTGGGCTCACTTGACCTTCCGAACTTCAAATGGCTTGAGTGAGGAGCAATATGCATTATCTGAATTTTTGGAGAACACCTGTTTGTACAAATAATACAGTTTCATCTGGTCTTTGGTTGACAAGTAGGCCTTATTTGCACCAGCTCATTTTTGTTTCCAGCTCAGAGCCACAATGTGAACGAATGATTCGGACAGTTTCCGAGGAAGCCTTGGAATCCTAATTGACAGGGACAACAGTATCTTTGAAGCGTACTACCTAATCTGAGGTGCCCTCCTTCTCGAAACCACATTTGCTAAGAATATGGCTTTTTTGAGCTTGGCTGCTGGAAGGCGATTAGCGGTATGTCTGCCCAACAGCTTCCCCCAACTCCCGTGGTACGTGTTTTTTTATGTACTAGCCAATATCCACTTCGTGTTGTTTTTTGCTCTTCGTTGAGTATTCCAAACTCACCCTGGTCTTCTGTTGTCTTTGGAAATAGCTGCTGTTGGTCCTCAGCAGAAAACACACCCCTTTCTGCCTGTGAGGAAATGTCCTGACTGGGAGGGAGGAGGGTTGGGTGAGTTCTATGGATAATATTCACCCTAAGGCTTGGTTTTCCTTCAAAGATGTGCAGAGCAGATAGTTGGAACAGCTACGTCGGAGTCTCTCAGGCAGCACATCCCACGCTGCTGCCTCAATGGCTTGGCTCCTTCCCCCTTCTTTCTGAGACAGGGTCTCGCATAGCCAAAGCTGCCCTGGAACTCTGTATAACCAAGGATGACCTTAAACTTCTGATCCTTTTGTCTCTACTTCCTAGGTGCTGGGAATACACACATCCCACCAATGCACCAGTGTAGTTCTGGAGACTAAGCCCAGGGCTTTGTGTTAACAAGTTGCCCAGGTTGGCCTTGAACTCTTGTTCCTCCTGTCTCAGTGTCCCAAGTGCTGGGATTATAGGAGTTCATCACTATGCCCCAGTCCGTTTTTGTGCCAGGTTGAGAACATAGCGTACACATTATTCCATAACCTGACCATTTTCTTTTAGTCAACAATCACACTTTTTTATGTCAGTATGTTTTATTGTGTCTAACGCAGCCGGCCAGGTGGGGTTGGGTGTTGGCCAGACTCACTGTAGCCTTGTAACCACACTTGGGAGAAGCAGTTGCCAGCTGTTTTATTACGCTCTGCTAAAGTCTCATGAATGCCTTCATGCGTGTGGGCCATTTTCTTGATTGATGATATGGGAGGGCCCAGGTTACTGTGAGTGGTGGCATCCTGGGCTGCTGGTCTTGGATGCTCTTACAAGGCAGACTGAGCAAGCCACGAGGAGCAAACCAGTAACCAGCGCTCCTTCTTGACATCTGTATCAGTTCCTGCCTTGATTTCCTTGTGTGGTAGACTGTAAGGTTTAAGATGAAACAAAACCTTTCTTCCCCAAGTTGCTCTTGGTCGTGGTATTTTATCACAGAAATATAAACCCTAACTAAGACAATAATTATTATATTTTAAAGGGTTGGGGCTGGTGAGAGGATTGTGGTTACAAGTGCTGACTGCTCTTTCAGAGGATCAGGGTTCAGTTCCCAGCGCCTACACAGCACCTCACAACTATCTGTAACTCCAGTTCCAGGGGATCAGATAGACATGCAGGCAAAACACCCATATACATAAACATTAATTTAAAAAAGTTAAAAGCTGTGGTGGTCAGGGTTCTCTAGAGGAACAGATCTGATAGAATGAAATATATATATATATTTCATTGTATATATACACATATATACACACACAGTCTTTATTAGAGTAGCTTATAGGCTGTGCTCCTCTTTGCCCCACATCTTACCACTGTGACCTCAAGAAGAATTTTAAGGGCTCTTTCTGTCTGAATGCATAAGGTAACAGTGTTAATTTCTTGTCTTTGGTCTTGTGAAGGTACATGAAGTCTAAAGTTCTACATGGCTGGCAAGAAATCATCAGGCAGGCAGCCACTGCTGCTTCTGGGACTGTTGGTCACTGTAGCTGCCATCCATCTTGTTGCCTGTCCCTACACCAAGGTAGAGGAGAGTTTCAACCTACAGGCTACGCATGACCTGCTGTACCACCAGCTGGACACAGACAAGGTGAGCCACTGCTGGGAGCGGAGGCGTGCTGCACCTCCCCAGCCTCTGCACTGACCATTCTCTCTCCTTGCAGTACGACCACCATGAGTTTCCTGGAGTTGTTCCCAGGACGTTCCTTGGGCCACTGTTGATTGCCGTATTCTCCAGCCCTGTAGTTTATGTGCTTTCATTGTTGGAAGTATCCAAGTTTTATTCTCAGTTGACAGGTAAGGGCCTTACAAGGGTGAGAACTGTGACATTACATGTGGGTTGGGGAGGGGAGGGTGGGAGATGTGAGGACTCACTGTAGCCTTGCAGCTAGACTTGGGACAAGCAAGCAGAAGCTATACCTTAGACTCGGCTGAAGTCCTCATGACATACTTTAGATGCAGGGTTAGAAGACAGTGCCCACTGCTCCTGTCTCAGCTCGGGGCCTCAGAAACACACAGCCTCGACTGTTACAGAGTCTGCACACTCTACAGGGAATGTGCGGACAGACTTCGAGGTCTGAGGTCATCACGCTGGTCTTCATACAGAGCTCCTGAGCCCTTCTCTGTGCCCCTATGAGTACTTCCTAAAGTTTTTCATTGTTGCAGAAGGTTTGACTGGTAGATAAGATCTACTAGTAGGACAGAGTACAGTATTTTAGCCCAGATATATGATGTAATGATCAGACCAGAGTTAATGTTTTTGTATCTTCAGATACTTGTTTGGGGGTATTGAGGACACTGTGGCTCCTGTTTTTATTTATATTTGCTTATTTGTTTGTTTGTTTGTTTGTTTTAGTTTAAGTTCAAGGTCTCACTCACTGTGTAGCACAGGATGGCCTAGAACTCAGTTCTCCTGCCTCATCCTCTGACAGCTGGGATGGCAGGTGGATGACACCATACCTGGCTTCTCTGAGGTGTTCTAAAATGATTTCTGCATGGGTGACAGACCCAAGACACTGCTGTACTGGAGATCAGAGCTCACTGCTTCTGTAGCTGATACCCTTACTTTTTTTTTTTTTTTTTTTTTTTAATGTATGTATCTGGTGCCCATCGTAGTTGGAAGAAGGGCCAGATCCCCTGGAACTGGAGGACTTTTTAAAAAATTTTATTTATTTTTATTTTTTTATTGTAGACATAGTCTCACTATGTAACCTTGGTTGTCCTAAAACTCGCTTTGTCGACCAGACTAGGCTGGTCTTGAACTCATAGAGCTCTGCCTGCCTCTGCCTTTCTAAGTGCTATGTCTAAAGGTGTGCACCATCATGCCTGATCTTATACTAAGTTAAGAACATTTGTGTGTACACATCCTGCCTGACATTTTTAGCTGACAATCACACATTTCAAATTCAAAAAATTTGATTGTGTCTAACACAGCTGGCCATAGTTAGAGTTCAGTTTGTCTAGCCTACGTGGAAAGCTTTAAAAACTGAATTCCCAAGAGACACTCAGCCCACTTCTCAGAAAGGCTGATTAGGATAGGGAGCCCTGCCAGTGCCCCAGGGCAGCTTGTAGATCACAGCCTTGGTGTTGGCAATCATCAGGAAGCCCCAAATGTAGAGGCAGCTTGTAGGCCTCATTCCCTGAAGGAAATCTGTGGTAGTTTTGTTTGGGGCAGCTAGGTATGCCCACTGCCTTTGCACAGTGACATATTCCCCCTCGGCTGTTGTAAGCCTGGGATTTCTGATGTATGCCAGCTCCTGCAAGAGGCCCAAAGATTCTTCTCAGGGTTATGGTAGCCATCCGAGAATGGAGGTTGTGTGACCAATTGTCCTTGTCCAGGGCTCTAACAGAAGTTTAGAAAAATGGAAAGCAGGAGGAGCCCTAGGATCTGGGTGCAGAATGAGCAGATGGGACCTTGAGGAAGTAAAGAGCTTTGCCTGGGCACTGTAAACAGAAGTGCTAGACAGGCTCCCTGCTAGCATCGTGCAGAAACCAAACCCAGACTTTTGTGGACACAGCTCCGAAGTGAGATATCTGTGCTCTGAATCCATGAGCATGCAGAAAAAGGGAAGCCTGGTGCTCACTCTGAATGCCTGGGTTGGCTTTTAGAAGTCTGCAGCTCCCGTCCTGCCATGACTGCCAGCTTCCTGTGCCATCATTTTAGGACGTGGCACCCACTGGCTAGTAAGGCTTGTCTACTCTGAGAATATGTGGACTGGCCCTGTTCAGAGGTTCCTGACTCACCTATCTTCAGAAGATCACTTCCTTCAGGGACAATTCCCATTCATCTTCCCTGCCCCTGCTCCTGCCGCTGGTGTTTGCATGCATCAAGATCTGGATGCATTACAAGTTGGATTTGAGTTCAGCCATGTCCTCCACATCCCCTTGCCAGAGGCCACTGCTTATCCTGCCCTTCCAACACTGCTCTCCAGCTTTGCCCAGCATTTGACAAACAGACAGCTAGTTCTGTGGGGCTCAAAGTCAGAAGCTTGAATGGTGCAGGTCTCAGTGCAAACATAGGCCCAGGTCCCTAATGGCCACTTCTGGTACCAAATGTGAGGTCCAGGTAGTATATTGGCACTGGCTGGCACTGTGGTTGACACCCAAAGAGCCCCTGGCTTCATCATCTGTGTGTGCTGTTGGGTGGCTCACATCAGTGACTTTGTTGCTCATTTGATTTAGTCAGAGGAGTCCTTGGGCTTGGTGTGATTTTTGGACTCTGGACGTTACAAAAAGAAGTGAGACGACAGTTCGGGGCCAAGGTGGCAGCCATGTTCTGCTGGACGTCAGCCACACAGTTTCACCTCATGTTCTACTGCACGCGGACCCTGCCCAACGTGTTGGCCCTGGCTGTGGGTATGTAGCTTCAGGATGTACCTTCTGACCCCCCTTAGCTAAGCACTGACCCCCACCTCATGGGCTCCTCATAAACTGCTCTGGGTCTCTGTTATCGGAGCAGGCTTACTTTCTGGAAAATGCTACCTGGAGCACCTGTGTTCTATTCCAGAAGGCATTCTGTCTAGGCAAGTAAGCTTCTCTAGGGTTTGTCTGTGTGTATTTTGGTTTTTGGTATTTGGGGGCATAGTCTCACTATATAGTCCAGGCTGGCCTTTGAGTGCTAGATCCTTCTGCCTTACGCTCTGCAGTGCTGAGCATTACAGCTTCTGTGTGTGTGTTGAGTGTTCTGCTGTATGTTATTTAAGCGTATCATGTCCATATGTACCTGCAGAGGCCAGAAGAGGGCATCAGGTCTTCTGGAACTGGATTTCCAGGCAATTGTGGGCTGCCACATGGATGCTGGGAGTGGAACCTGGGTCTTCTGCAAGAGCAGCCAATTTTTAAATTGCTGAGCCATCACTCCAGCCCCCATAGAGGGATTTGTGGGTATGTGTTTTATAATAAGAAAGTGAGTTCCCCTTATCTGTGTGTTTTGTGTTTTACAGTTTTACCAGCCCTCACAGCCTGGCTGCAGCGTAGGTGGGCACGCTTTATCTGGCTCTCAGCCTTTGTCATTATTGGCTTCAGAGCTGAGCTGTGCATGCTGCTGGGCCTTATGCTGCTGCTGACCTTGTACCAAAGAAGAATGTCTGTGGCCAGAGTGTTCCGGCATGCCATCCCAGCAGGGATTCTCTGTCTAGGCAAGTCAGCACCTCAGCTTTGTCTGTGTGTATTTCACTTTCAGTTTTTGCTATTTTGAGACAGAGTCCTACTATTTTAGTTACTGTTCTGTTGTGATGAGACACCATGACCAATGCAGCTTATAAAAGAAAACATTTAATTGGGGCTTGCTTACAGTTTCAGAGGGTTAGTCCGTGATCATCATGGCGGCAGGCAGGCAGGCATGGCGTTAGAGCAGTAGCTAAGAGCTTACATCCTGTTCTACAGGCATCAGGCAGAGACAGTGAGAATGAGCCCGAACCTGGTGTGGGCTCATTTGAATCCTCAAAGCCCAGCTCCATTGACACACCTCCTCCAATAAAGCGACACCTCCTAGTCCTTCCTAAACTGTCTAACAACAAGAAACCAAATATTCAGATTTATTAGACTATGTGGGCCTGTCTCATCCAAACCACCACACCCATTGTATAGCCCAAGCTGACCTAAATTTGAGCTCCTCCTGCTTGAGCCTCCACAGCACTAGCATTACAAGTGTATCAGTTTGAAACTTGGTATGTGCATGTGCATGTAGCATCCAGAGGTCAACCTCTGTGTCATTCCTTAGGAGTTAGCCACTTTGGTTTTTTGGTTTTTTGGTTTTTTAGGTGTTTTTTGTTTTTGTTTTTGTTTTGTTTTGTTTGTTTGTTTGTGAGATATATTTAATTCTATTTTATGGGTATGGGTATTTTGCCTGCATGTTTCTGTGTACTGTCTGTGTGCCTGGTGCCCATGGAGGCCAGAAGAGGGCATGAGATCCCTGGAACTGAAGTTACAGACAGTTGTTAGCCACCGTGTGGGTGCTAAGACATCTCTCCAGCCCCATGCCTGGATGGATATGTGTGTATGTATGTACATATATATATACACATATATACATACATATATATCCATTTGGTTTTTTGAGACAGGGTCTCTTTATATAGCCTGGAACTCGCTTTGTAGACCAGTCTTCCTTGAACTCACAGAAATCCACCTGCCTCTGTCTCCCTAGTGCTTAGTTTAAAGGTGTGTGCTACCACATCCAACTCATACCTGGCTTTTTATGTGGGTTCAAGGATACAACTCAGGCCTTCCTGCTTGCAAGGGAAGCTCTTTACTAAGCTGTTGCCTCAACCCTTGAGTCTTGTTTTTTTGTGTATTATATTTAGCTTGTCTGTGTGTATGTGTGCATGCGCGTGTGTTTTTGTGTACATACATGGCCACACGTGAGCCTGTGCACACCACAATGCACTTTTGGAGGTCAGAGCACAACTTGTGGGAGTGAGTTCTCTCCCTCTGCCATGTAGGTCTCAGGGGTTAAACTAAGGTCATCAAGCTTGGCAGCAAGAGCCTTTACCCACTGAGCCATCTCACTGGCCCCCAAGAAAACTTTTTTAAGCTTTATTTTATTTTTTATTTCTGAATGCACACACATAGACACACACACACACACACGTCTGTATATGGGAATATGTGTGTGTGATTGTAGGCACCTACAGAGTCCAGAAGACTGTTTCTTTTCTTGGTATAAAGTACAGGCAATTGTGTGCCTTCTCTGTGGGTCCTGAGACCTGAACTTGGGTCCTCTGAAAGGGCAGTATGCTGCTTAACTACTGATTTATCTCTCTAGCCCTCTTTTTTAGATGTAAATAAGACGATCTGAACTGGCAGCAGTAGAATATCCCAGTCCTGTCCATAGAGGTGGCTTCTACTCAGAAGCCTGCATGTACCCACTGTCCTTAAAGTTGCTTGGCCAGGCAGGAAGAGGGCAGTGTGTCCTGTGCTGGGGAAGACACTTGATGGTTAATGGTGTCACACACCACCACCTTCTTTTATGGGAAGCTGCTGGCAGTTTCTGTGGCCATGCGGCCACTTTGTGAGGACAGTTAAGCACAGGGCATCTGTGGGTTGAGGCTTGAGTTTTATAGTTGGCCATATTCCTTACTGAGGACACTTCTGTTCTGTTATTAGGGCTGACGGTTGCTGTGGACTCCTATTTCTGGCAATACCTTGTATGGCCAGAAGGAATGGTGCTTTGGTACAACACTGTCCTGAATAAAAGTTCCAACTGGGGCGTATCCTTTCAGTATTAGAGTAAGAGAGCACGGGCTAGTCAGCGCCATGGCTCTGGCCTCCGTCTCCTGACTCCCTCTCAGCAAGCTGGTCCAGCACAGGTAGGGTGGCTGTCTGAGGGTCAGGGCAGGAGCTTTTCCTGTGGCTCACACCTGAGACTTGCTGCCCACGGGTGGTGCTGAGGCCCATGCTACCTTCTAGCTATCCTGTGGCAACATCTCCCTATGAATCACCTAGTCTAACCCATGGTCCATGGGGCAGTCTGCTTCTTAACACATTTATCCTAGAGTACTTCAGACAGACTCATGGTAAGAAAGGACAGCCTAGCTATGACTTGATAACATATTGGCTTCATCCATTAATATTGTGAAGAAAGGAAGAAAGCTGAAGGAACTTCCTTCCCATAGTGCTCTGGGGCCCTCACTTGTACTGTGGCTAGGAAGGGTATGCTGCACTCAAAATCAGTCATCCCCATACCTCCTAAGCAGGCCTCTGACGTGTCCTTTGGCATAACTTCCTTTGGGGCTACTTCAGCCTTTATGCTGTTACCATCCTAGTTCCATTATGGACAGTGACTCTGTCTCTGACATACTTGTGCCTCCTTAACCCCGACCTGAAGACCTCCCCACTCCTGTGGTATTTCTACTCTGCCCTGCCCCGAGGCCTGGGCTGCAGCCTTCTCTTCATACCCCTGGGTGCAGTGGACAGGAGGACCCATGCACTGTCCCTGCCAAGCCTGGGATTTGTGGCTTTATACTCGCTTCTCCCACACAAGGAACTGCGGTTCATCATCTATACCTTCCCTGCCTTCAACATCATGGCTGCCAGAGGCTGCACCTACATGTGAGGGCTCCATCCTTGAGATTCTTGTCTGCTTTTTCATTTTGACTGTGTTTTTTGGGTTGCTGATTGGAATTACCTGGTTGATTAGGTATTTTTACAGTTTCATTAGAAATAGGTTTGCTGTGCTGGGTAGCATATGCCTTAGGAGGCAGAAGTAAGTGGGTCTCTGGTTTTGATGCTAACGTGGTCTACATAGTGAGACCTTGTCTCAAAAAAGGAAAAAAAAAGTAAGTTTGCAAGTTTAACATGAGTAGAGCTGTTTTGTTTTGGAATCAAATTTGAAATTTATTAAGTTAAAAAAAAGATTATTTGGTGTATTAGAAAAAAGTTACGTGCTTAAATTCAAGGATTGTCAGAGTGTCCTTGTCACTTGAGATTTTTGACAAATTGGATGTCTGTGGTCCTCAGTGCACCAGGAGGCCTCTGGGCAGTGCTCAACGCCTCCTGCCCTGCTTGTGAGTCTTGCTTCTGTCTCTACCCAGCACCTTGCTAACTGTCCCAGAGCTGGTCTTGGGAGACATGGCCAAGGTAGGCCTTCAAGGCTGAGGGAGATGGCTGGTCCTGGAATGGGTTCCAGGGCTCTGAATGATCCATCAATCAGGTAGAAGGTGTTGGTCTTGGCTGGAGGATGGCTGGAGATGAGGTGGTGCTTTTGTTCATTGTGGGGCACAGAGAGGCTCCAGCTGTGGTTTCCAGCCTCTTGGTTTCCAGAGGCTCCTGAAATAGCACCATTCGCTAAGGGCCAAGTGTTGACACGTGAGTATGAGGGGACCTGTAGTGGTTTGAATTAGAACTGTCCCCATAGGCTCACCTATTTGAACACTGAGTTCCCAGTTGGTGATACTGCTTTACTCTATCTCTTAGTTGGGGGGATATAGTGGGCTAAATTGTGCTGAAAATCTATATTTAAAATTTGGTTAGTAGGCTATTTTTTTTAAGATTGTATTTATTTATGTATATGAGTACTCTATCTGCATGTACACCTGCAGGGCCAATAAAGGGCATCAGATTCCAGTATAGATGATTGCGGGCCCCGTGTGGTTGCTGGGAATTGAACTCAGGACCTCTGGAAGAGCAGACAAGGCTCCTAACTGCTGAGCCATCTCTACAGCCCCTGTATACTATTTTTTAAAGGGTCAAAGAGCACACATTCTTCTCTGGGCTGCACAGTCTCTGTCACAGCTGCTAACACCATTGTTACCACCATTGTTTAAAGTCAACCTCAGAGGGCTGAGTGTGAAAACAGACAGCGCCATGTGCGCCATGTCCCATCAATGCTTGTTTACAATATGTCCTTTAAAGACACTGAGGCAGACAGAAGAGAATCCAGAGTTTGTTTTGGATGACCTGAGCTGCAGCTTGGATACAGGGGTTCAAGCTGAAGTGTGCTATGGTGTTATAGCCATAATCAGGTCTTAGAGGCACGCTGAGGAGTGGGTCGTGGGGATGCTATTGTCTACAGCAATCTAGATGGAGCAGGTGGAGTGGAAGTTAAACACTTGGGAACACCAGATTGTGCCATCCCAAGCTGGGATGGCTACAGAATGAGTTCCGGATCATGCTGAGCTACAGTCTGAGCCTTTCTCAAAAAACAAAAATCAGCAAAAGGGCTGGGGATGAAGTTCAGTTTGCAGAGTACCTGCTCAGCGTGCACAGAGCTCTCTGTTCAGTCTCCAGCACAACATAAATTAGGTTCAGGTGTACAGGCCTGTAACCCCACCATTCAGGAGGTAGAGGTTCAAGGTCACCTTAGGCTATATAGCCATTTCAAGACTGGCCTGGACTACAGGAGACCCTTTCTAAATAAACAAATAAATGGCCCTTTATCAATAAATACTTAAATAAGTTTAAAATCTAGATCAGTGTAGGTGAGTAGCAAACCGACTTAAACAGAATGACTTAGAGAATACATGTAAAGCTGTTCCCTGAAAGTGACCAAGAAGACTAAAGATAAAGACATTTGGGCTGACGAGGTGGCTCAGTGGTTAACAACAATGGCTGCTCTTCCAGAAGTCCTGAGTTCAATTCCCAGCAACCACATAGTGCCTCATGATCATCTATAACAAGATCTTATGCCCTTTTCTGGCATGTAGGTATACATGCATACAGAGCACTCATACATTAAACAAAATAACATGCATATATACATACATACACATAATATATGTATACACACACACATACATACGTACACACACACACATACACACACACACACACCCCAGCACTGAAGGAGGCAGGGACAGGTGAATCTCTGAGTTCAAGGCTAGTCTGGTCTACAGCAAGTCTGGGACAGCCAAGGCTACATAGAGAAAACCTATCTTAAAAAACAAAAACTATCAAACAAAAAGAGACTCTGGGAGCTTAGGGGTGATAGTACACCCCTGTAACCCCAGTGTTCAGGAGGCCAAGGAATGGGTGACATGGGTAAGAGAATGCTCGCTGCCCAAGCATAAGGGCCTGCATTTGGGTCCTCAGCACCTCTTTAAAAAGCTAACTTCTAACTCCAGCACTGTGGTAGTGGTGATGGGGGACAGAGACAGATGGATTGCTGTGACTCAGCCTAATTGAAAAACTGGCAGATTCTGTGTTCACTGAGATGCACTGTCTCAGAGCAGTAAGACGGAGAGAGGTAGAGCAGGAGACCTGATGTCCTTCTCTGGCATCCGCATAGCACGCCTGGATGCCTGCATTAGTGCACCAAGGTGCGCACATACCATTACTCATCCCCCAACCAAAGTCAGTCTTAGGAAGGTAAGGGAGGGAGGGTGAGCTAACCCTGGCCCCGGTGCAGGGTTGGGCTCTTCTCAGCAGGCAGCCACAGGGGGTGTGAGACTTGGCTGCTCATCTTGCCGAAAGCTATCTCAGTATAAGGCACCCTCTCGAACTCTGCCTAGCAGTCCTCTTGAGTTGCTGTGGGGTTTGTTTATACACAACAGAAGGAAGCAGTAACCTGGACTTCTACTCTAAGCAATGATGCGGTGCCTTTTTAAACATCCCTTGAAAAAGCTAATACAAACCTGAATTAGCATCTTGAGTGAAAATTTGAAGTTCTTACTTATTTACTTTTAAATTTCTATGTATGTGTATTATTGGGTCCGTGTGTGCACATGCCGTGGCATGAGTGTGGAGGTCAGAGGACAAATCTTTGGAGTCATCCTTTCCATGTTTATGTGGGTTCTGGGGATCTCAGGTTACCAGGCTTACAAGGCAAGTGCCCTTTTAGTTGTTTTGAGACAGTCTTGCTATGCAATCCAGGCTGGCTTCAAACATGCCATCATTCTTCAGCCTTCCCTGCACCAGGATTTTGGGCCTGTGCTCTTGCATACAACATGAAGTTTTCAGATGGAATTTTGGTCATTTTGGTTACTTGAGGTTTTTAGGGCAAGTTTAGCCTAAGGTCAGGACCCCCGACAGTCTGCCTGTGCCCATACGACAATTAAGAGTTGAATGAGCACATTCAAAAGAACAGATGAGGGGGACTGACATGAGCTTTAGGTTTAAACAGAATTAGCTAGGGGCAAGAGGTATGCATAGTTAAGTAGTCGTGGTCACAGTGTGGTCTGGTTGATCATTATCTCAGTTCTGGTTCTGCCAGGTGGTGAGATGACAGTCCAGTTACCCTGAGATGAGCATTCTGCCGGGAGGGCGATCTCATCAGGGGGTCATCTGTCTGTGGGATTAGAGCAAGTGGAGACTTATGGCGCCTTCTGTGGGTTTGGAGCAGGCCATTGGCAAAGCTGACAGTAAGATGCCTCAGTTACTCTTTGTGCCTTTGGCCTTGAATGAACATGAAATGGGTTAGCTATCATCAGCTTGTAGACAGACTCCTTGAAGATCTTCACCCAGAATTAAACAGGTGAGGGACCCAGAGTCTTAAGAAGATGCAAGGCAGTGGTGCTGCACGCCTTTAATCCCAGCACTTGGGAGGCAGACAGATGTCTGTGTTCAAGGCCAGCCTGGTCTACAGAGTGAGCTTCAGGGCATCCAAGGCTACAATGAGAAACCATGTCTCAAGAAAACAATCAACCAATCAATCAATGGGGCATGCAGAAAGGGCCCAGGAATGCCAGGCTTTTGTCTGCTTTTCCTTACCATATGGTCCCAGGTGAGCCGCTGATACTTTTTCTCAAAAGCAGTTTCACAGCTCTTTTGTTCTTTGGCTGATTCTCCAGAGATAGACTTGATTAATATAACTGCTTTTAATGACTTGGTGACCTTGGAGTGGGTTGATATTCCAGATGTGCGTGGATACATTGGTGTTCTTGCCACCATATGCTTTTCGTTTACTGTCATTCTTTTTTCAGCCTGAATAACTATAAAAAGTCTTGGCTGTATAAGGTGGGAACTCTGCTCGTGATAGGACACTTCATGGTGAACACAGCACTTACAGCCACATCCCTCTATGTGTCCCATTTCAACTATCCTGGTGGTGTCGCGATGCGACGGCTCCATGAACTGGTGCCTCCCCACACAGGTCGGTACAGGTGCTCCTAGGGAACCAGCCTCGACCTTTGTGAGGTGTCATGCCGGTGTCTAACTGAGATTTGCTTTTCTTAGATGTCCTTCTGCACATTGATGTGGCTGCTGCCCAGACAGGGGTGTCGCGGTTTCTACAGGTCAACAGAGACTGGAGGTTTGTTTCTGAAGTACCGTAGCTGCAGGTGGAGCTGCTTCTCACAGAAGCCGCCTAGAAGGCACTCCAGTGGCACCTAGGTGGTGGGGAGAGGTGGCGTGAGACCTAGGTGAAGACGAGTGCGTGCTTACAGCTGGCTTTTCTCTCCCAGGTATGACAAGAGGGAAGATCTCCAGCCTGGAGCCGTGGGCATGCAGGACTACACGCACATCCTTATGGAGGCAGTGCCTGTTCACCTGGCCCTCTACGGGGACACGCACCGTGTCCTGGCTAGTATTGAGGGCACTACAGGTGTGAGCCTGAACCTGACAAAACTGCCCCCCTTTGATGTCAACCTGCAGACGAAGCTAGTGCTTCTGGAACGGCAGCCTAGGCCAGTCTAGAAGGATGAGCTCTCCAGGAGCATCAAGTGTGGCCACCTACTCAGTGAAGACAATTCAGAAAAACAGCAAAGGGCCAAGGACTACAGCATGTCCTGGTGTCCACCTGCCATAGCCACACTTAGGACTCACGGCTGGGACCGTGGAGCCCAGGACAGTAGCCTATGCAGACCTGTCTGCATAGTTAGGCTCATTTATATTCACAACTAAGAGGAAATGGGGAGCCAGGCTAGAACAACCTGCCACCCTAATTCTGCAGTGACTCTCGGTGTGTATGTCCTGTCCCTGAACCCACTGTTGCCCATGGCCTCAGGAGACCACAGTATAAACCCAGAGCTTCAGCACAGGGTAGACAAACACACACACACACACACACACACACACACACACACCACCCATTATTTCAGCTGTTATAGTCCAAGGCATGTCATCCTCATTTCAAATTAATTCTTAAAACATACACATGCTCATAAAGAACAAGAATAAAGTTATGTTTTCTTATATTGTGTCTTGTTTTGTGGTTACTTCTGGAGACAGTCTCTGCCCTGGTTTCATAGTAGGGGCCACTGTGTCTGCCAGTCCGTGCTGAACATTCATGTGGAAGTGTGACAGTGCTAGTCATACAGATGACATTTGCACATCATGCATCCGATATGCAGGCACATACCACACAAGCTCATGTGTTTACAGATATCACACATACATAGCCTGGATAGCACATTCTGCTAGGATAGTACACAGCTATAAAGCTGTGTGTGTGTGTGTGTGTGTGTGCATGCTCAGATGTATGCAGGTATATTACGGCTAGGGGACAGTCTTGAATTTTTTTAATTTTTGTTTTATGTGCACTGGTGTTTAGCCTGCATGTATGCCTGTGTGAGAGTGTCAGCTGTTGGAGTATAGACAATTGTGAGCTGCCATCTGGGTGCTGGGAATTGAACTGGGGTCCTCTGGAAGAACAGTAAGTGCTCTAAACTACTGAGCCATTGCTCCAGTCCTGGTCTTGGGTTTTGTTCCTCAGGCACCATCTACTATTTTTCTGTTTTCCTGCAAGTGAGCCCCAGGGACCTGCCTTCCAAGTGCTGGAGTTACAAGCATGTACTACACGCATGCTTGGGTCCCACCCTACCACCAAGTAAGTTCTATGGGTTGAATTCAGGTTACCATGCTTGCAAGGCAAGCTGTCTTCCAGCTGTTTCTAGTCTTCGAGAGCAGGTGGTTTGAAGCATAGCCTTTGGCCTGTCTTGCTTACTAGTGCACACAGTCATGATAGACACCACAGATGTTTCCTGATGCAGTCCTCCATGGTGGCGGAAGGGCAGGCTTCAGACTCCAGGTCACCTCCCTGACCCCCAGCCAGCATTCTGAACACCCCCCCCCCAGCCATTTATTTCCCTGTTACCTGTGTGTGTGTGTGTGTATGTCTATGTGTATTGTCTTTTGTCTCTGTGTACATGTGGATTACTATGGTTTACTACTTAACTTCCACGGTCTGTAGGTCATCCTTAATGCTGATGGGTGAGATGTGCCCAGTGGGAGCCCTGTCACATGGTGCTTGCCTATGACATGGCCCCTTTGAGCATTTCCAGGTGTATGGTACTCTCAGGTGTGTGTCCTCCTGGGCCTGTGGGATTAGCCATGCCTCAAGTGTACTAGCTCCTTTTGGTGGAGCATGGCTTTAAGCCAGGATCTGAGGCTGGGTATCTTTGTTGTCCTTGGGGTGTCCTCTCTTAGACCCTTCCTGTTGACAGATTAGGAAATACAGGCATGGCTACATGTGCACAAACGTAAACACATGACATGTATGGACAGTCATGGGGCCATAGCGTAATTGTGTTGTGGGACCTGGGACCGAACCCAAGGCCTCATGCATGCTAACCTGGCCTGTACCATTGAGCACCAGTACTCATTACAGTTCTTCCCACGCCATGGGGTTCTTGTCAATCTTCATGCCACAACTGTGCAACTCCCTGCGACAATGAAGATCCTGGCTCCTGGCAGTGTCCAAACATTTGGTACTTTGTTCAATGACAAAACATACATTACAAAGTTCTGGAATTGTGTGCTGCACAGAACAAACTTGCCAGACGGAGGTCAGATCTGTTTGCAGTTCACTCTCCTGCCCATGACTGGGTGTGCAAACACTGTTGCTAAATTTCTTGGGCTGGCCTTTGCCCTTCCTCAGTGTGGTTGTTTTCCACTTGAAATGCAGGTAATGTGTGTCTGTGTGTGCATGTAAGCCTTTGCACTTGCTTTCAGTGCTTACCACCCATCATTTTGAGTTTGTAGGACATGACTGTACTTGTAAGGATCAAGTCACTCCTAGAAGTAAGCACAGGGAGGTTTCTTTTTGCTTTCTTTTATCTTTTTGTTGTTGTTATTGGTGGTGTACTTTTAAAAAACTTCTTTATTTTTGGAACTCCACCTGTTAGGCTTGACATGGCTTATGTAGCTTGTCTCCTGGGTACTTGGTACTCCTACACTGGGAAGGAGAGAGAAAGGGTTAGTGGGAGAGGGAGGCCAGTTTTCTTAGCTGCTTCACTGCTGGTTAGGGTCATCGGGTTCCTTTGAGCCAGTCCAATCCTCATTTCAGGAAATCTCCAACTTCTTGTCTCACAACAGCAACCAGGAGCAGCAAGGGAGAAGCAGGAGCAGCCTTATTCCTTGAGCTCCACACTCTCTGGGCTCTGGCATTTATTCTGTCTCCAGGGTCCTCAGATTTAAACTATCTGCAGCTGGCAAAAAGCTCCTCCCAGAGCTGGCATGAGGCAAATAGTCTGATGCTGTGGACCATCTGAATCAGTCCCACAACCCACATGTGAAACCAAAACAAAACCATGTTTGTATCCACAACAGTTTTTGTTTTTTGTTTTGTTTTGTTTTGATGTTTGTTATTTGAGACAGGGTTTCTCTGTGTAGCCCTGGCTGTCCTGGACTCCCTTTGTAAACCAGGCTGGCCTTAAACCCACAGTGATCTGCCTGCCTCTGACTCCCAGAGTTCTGGGATTAAAGGCATACACCACCATACACCACCATGCTTAGCTTCAGGGAGATTTCTTCCTGCACCTCAGTTTACTGCTCTAGAGGAGGTAGGACCTGGGAGAATAAAGGTGATAAATGAGGTGGACTAAAGTCTCATGCAAAAGCCAACTTTATTCAGAGCATCAGACAGTTTATACCCTGAGGGTTAAGAGTCAATAAAGTGTACGCTCACAAGGACCAGTCACACGTGGTACAAACATGTTTTCCATTGAGGCATATGAACAAATAACAATATCCAGCTGCAATGAATAATCTAAAGTAAACTCACTCCTATCTGCTACACCTGTGAGGGGCATGAAAGCACATTCCAAGAACAAATCCGTGGTTTGTTTTTTTTTTAAGATTTAGTTATTCATTATTAGGTATACAGAGTTCTGCCTGCACGTATACGTGCATGACAGAATAGGAAACCAGATCTCATTATAGATGGTTGTGAGCCACCCCGTGGTGGCTGGGAATTGAACTCAGGACCTGTGGAAGAGCAGTCAGTGCTCTTAACCTCTGAGCCAACCCTCCAACACCCAAATCCGTGTTTTTAAAGAGACTGGGTTCACAAGGCTCTGTCTTGTTTACTTGGAATTTTCTCACAAGCGTCAGAACTTCCTTCCCCTGGCTCCATCTTGGACTTTGTTCTCATACACCTCCTCCCCTCTTTTTGGTCATTAGTGTCATTTCTTTCTATCTTTGTAAAGACAGGCAGAGAGGCACATCTTATTTGTCTTTCTGTGGATGGGTTTTGCCATGTACCAGTATCTCTGGAAATTCTGCTTCCCATGGATGGAACTCCACCTGGTAGGCTTGACATGGCTTATGTAGCTTGTCTCCTGGGTACTTGGTGTATTTCTGGCCTTTTGCAATTCAATGCCTCAAAGGATAATCTTGTGGGACATACTGTTTGAGGTATGTCTGCAGGCTGAGGTAGACATACCTGGGCCGAGAGAGATCATGTGCTATGCATGTCCCACCACCACTCACTGGACAGGGACAGCCTTCGGTGTGGCTGTCATATTGGTACTTCCACCTGCAAAGCAGATTGTGAGTTTCTGGAAGATTCTGTGAATTGTCTGTTTGTACCTTTTGTCCATTTCTCTAATGGCTTTTAGGTTATTTTCTTCCACTTTATAAAATGATGTAATGATTAGAAGTACTTGTATTTTATTTCTCATGGTTAATGACCTATTCACCCTGTCTAGTACCTTGTGAAGGGGCTGTCTTCTTCCTGGGTGTTTCTGCTTGCCAGTGTCAGGGTGTCACACCATCAGCCTTCTCCTGTATGCAGAGGGAGCCATGCTTCCTCCATACCCAGAATGCAGCTGTGCTTCCTGGGTACTCAGCTCTTCCTATGCAGTATTTTCCTGTCAGTTTTTGTCCATCTGGAAATAACATTTCTCTATGCCAAGTATGATCCATGAAAAACTCACGTTTGTGCTGGGATTACTCTCAAATACACTTTGCTTAGGAAGTAGGCACACCTGATGCTGTTGAAGTTTCCCAGGGAAGACAGGGCAGTTCCTGTCCTGTGCCATGTCCTATAAGTGTATCAGGACGTTTTATCTTTTTTTTCCTATGACAGTTCGAATTTGTGTTATTAAACTTATTCCTAATGGAGTTGTTTTGTGGCTATTATAAAGTTTTCTCATTCACCATGCCCTCCTACTGGGTTATTTCTATGTATGAGCACTACTGGTTCTTACTGCCAACTTTGGCTGCATCTTAAGTCTGTGTGACACCACATACACTCTGTGGAGCTGTTCTTCATAGTTTGCCCTTGACCTCCCTGAACTTAAAAGGACATTACAGTGCCCTTTCTAGAATGGGACATAAACAGTATATGATGTGTCACCTTTTGTGCTGCAGCTCTTTCTTTCATGTAATGTGTTCTAATTTGCCTTCTATTGCTGTGATAAAGATCATTACCAAAAGCAACTCAGGGAGGACAGGGTTTGTTTCATCTTACACTAAGATCACTCCAAGAGAAGTCAGGGCAAGGCAGAAACCTGGAGGCAGGAACTGAAGCAGAGGCCATGGACGGAGCACTGCTTACTGACCTGCTCTCTGACCTGCTCCCCGTGGCTTTCTTACACCACCCAGGACTACCTGCCCAAGGGTGGCACTGTCCCCAGTGATGTGGGTCCTCCAACATCAATCATTAATCAAGAAAATGCCCTACAGACTTTGCCTACAGGCAATCTGATTGAGGCTTTTTCTCAACTGCGGTTCCCCTTCCAAGATAACTCAAGCTTGTGTCAGGCTGAAAAGCCAACCAGGCCAGTGATGTTTCTGAGATACCTCAGATGTAATCTGACCACACATCAGTATTTTGCTTCTCTTGCCTCTGAGATAGCTTCACCCTGGATACCGCAGTTGACCTGTCCACTGACCAGCTGATGTGAGTTGCTGTCAGTTCTGGCTATTAAAAATGTTTCCATGAACGTGTGCATGTGTGTTCTCACATAGAT